AAGCTTAACATCTGCAGCTACACGGGCAAGTATGCAGCGGGCACTTCACACCAGTCTACTGCTAACGACAGGTCCCGGAGGGCAGTGATGTGCTGCAGGCTGATATCTGTCTCCGCGTGCATGGGATAACAATTCAGCTGAAGGCACTGAAGCATCAAATCAAAGCGCTTGTACCAGCCACAGGGGGCGGGTAGTACGCATCCATCCACTGAATCATGCAGTTGTCCCAATATGATTGCACCGGACGAAACGACAACAACAACAGTCTGTTTCCCTGGTGATTCAGTATATCGAGAGGTACCGGTGGAACGGGTATGAGCGGGATACCCCACCCGTTTTGAGCACACTGCCGCTTGCCACATCTGCCGTGTGCGGTGTCTACGGTGGTGACCACTCTGGGCGCCCCACGGTAATCGAACCCTCGTCAATGCATGCATGCTACGACGGGATTTCGTCTATACTCTGTTTCCCATCACAAATTTCTTCGCCAATTCTCGGCCCCGATGGAAATTTGCATTTTTCAAACACGCAATCGAGGCTTTCCTCCTCCTATAAACGGGGTCCCCGGAAATCAAGCTCGGGCTTTTAGAGACGTTTTGACTTTTTTTGGCATCAACGTGATCTTGCACTTTCGGGTACCGTAGCAGGGAGCACACTTGACTGCGCAAACCAAGCAAAGCTGTATAAGAGTGGGCGGGGTCAAACGATACCCTTGCAGCAAGCTGTGTCAGCTGGCCAGTCCGCATGCATGCATGTGCACAGCATTGCCTGAGTTGTGCAGTCATGTGTGCTGCCTGCGGGTGTGGAAGGTCCTGTATGTGCAAAGATAACCATGTTTGGAGGCCAGTTGAATGAGGGGCTCAGCTTTGCGATGATTGTGCAGTTGCTGGCCTGAATGCCTCCCTTGCAGTGTAGCAGTTGGTGGTACCAGCACCCACTCATGCAGCAGTTGCAGAGCATGCGTACCGGAGAGTGCTGTGCAGGCAAATGATGGTTGAGAGGTGCGGCAGGCGTGTTATCAGCGTGTTACAGGGTGCGGCGGTTGAGCATTGGTCCAAGACTTACGTGGCGGGCAGGGCAGCGCGGAGCATCTTCAATCCGCCCGCTCGCATGTGGTCACTCAAGCGCACGAGCTGCCCCTCTAAAATTTGTGCCGCTTGCGTGGTCGTGGTGCTGGGACGAATGCGCGTTTAAGAGCACGCACCAAAGGGTGCGAGCGTCGCCATTGGCGCGCATGCATGCATGCGACGCGGCGGGCCGCGCCGGTGGGCGGCATAGCGCTTGCGAACGTGCATGCTAGTGCCAAGTAGTTTGCGGCCTGTGGGCATGTGTTTGATGATACACCACTATCGTGCACATTTGAGGGCCTTGACCCCACCATGCGACAACGCGTACATTGATGATGGACGCCCACTGATGACGTCCGTGCAGGAGGCTTTCGGACGGTGGTGGGG